CGCCAGCCCCGGGCCAGGCCACGGCGGCTGAGCACGTGGTTCTGAGCGGATCTCTGCTGGGAGGGCCCCGCCTTGTCCGTTCCCACTCACGTTCTCTGACCGCACACCCGCTGCGCACCTGCCCTGTGGCTGGGTGATGACAATCTCACGCACAGTGTCCTCGACCGCGATGGCATGGCACCCTGCTCCCCGTGACACGCAAGAGCCGAGGCCCATTTATCAAGTCAGCGATGAGCACGGGGAGGTGTCCGAGCCCCACTCAGCCCCGCTCAGACGCAGAGGGAGCAGGCGCCTGCTGTTCCTGGTCCCCGCCTGTCACCTCGGCAAACGTGGACGTGACCGTGAACTTGCTTGGTCCCAGAGAATCGGAAGGGCCTCTCTCCGAAACCAATGGAACCGAAAATGAACGAAACGACACACGAAAGCGACATGGAGCCTCCCAACAGCGGCTGCAGCCCCATCGCTGTGGCGACGGCGGGAGGGCCACCCTCCTGGCTCGCGGGTCCCGACACTGTGCCCAGCTGCACAGCCAGGACGAGCTGCGTGCAGAGCCAACTCGCGGGGCGCCTGCTCAGAGCTGCGCGGCCCTGGGCTTTCCGGATGCTCGGAACCCAGCTGGCGTCGCGTCCACGGCCATCGTGGTGTCACGGCCCCAGAGCTGCCTTAGCTCCGCCTGTGCCCCTTCTCAGTGGAGACCAGTGGCCCTCGCAGTGGCCCCTCCTGAGCCGAGTCCTTGTGTTAACTGGTCACCTGGAGCCGGTGGCCGGGACTTCCTTTCCTCCCAGCTGCAGCCCACGGGACTGCCCATCGCCCACTGCATCCCTGTCCAGCCGCTGCCCCAGGCCCAGCTGGTCACCCTCCCTCCCCCGCCCAGGCGGTCCTCAGGTTTGCCAGGCGGGTCTGTGCGGGAGGGTGAGTGGAGCTCCAGAGAGATGGGGGGCCGGGGGTCCCCATCCCCAAGCTGCCACTCACAGAGCCCCCGCAGCCCGGGCCCTCGGCACTCACTCACTTATGGGGATTTATCAAGCGCCCCGGAGCTGGCGGGGGCGGCTCCCGCTCTCCGGCGAAGTGCCAGCCCCTTCGGAAGGCCCCCGAGAGCCTCTCCAGGGAACCGGCCACGTTTCCCTCCAGTCTGCTCCAGGTGGCTGCCGTGCCCGCCGCCCCCCCTCCCTGTCACTCATGTGCCTGGGGACCGTGGCGGCAACTTACGTTCCAGTCGATGGTGGCGAAGAAAGGGTGACGCTTGATCTCCTCCACTCCGTCACTGCCAGCACCTGTGACGGGGACAGGCGGCGAGTAAGACCCAGGACGAAGGTGTCGGCAGACGCCTTCCCCGCGAGATGTTAAATACGCGATGACCTAGCACGGGACCCGCCCTGGAGGGCAGCTCCGGGAACCTTTCCGCAGAGAATGACTTCGAAAGCACTCGGTTGACATAAGTAAACATCGACTTTAATAGGACTTCGAAAGCGAATTGGCACTCGGTTGACATAAGTAAACATCGACTTTAATACGTGCCGAGGTTTCTTAAGCAGGACGGATCAAACGGAAGTGGCGTTTCAATTGTTCTGTCTTTAGTTTATGGAGAAGGAACGTCAAACAGGTTGGAAAAAGCGCCACCACTCTGCGTGACAACAGTGACTCCTGGACGGCACGCGAGCCCGCGGTCCCCGTGCTGGGACAGAGCATGAGAGTGTCCCCACCCCCACCGCAGGGCCTTCTGCTGTCGGTGAACTCGAGGGAAGAGCTGGGGCGGGGACAGGCGGTCGGCCCGGTGGCCCGCGTGTCCCCTCCGCGGCGGGCACAGGGCTCACCCAGACGGTTGCAGGGGTTCCGCTTGAAGAGAGCCCGCAGCAAGCTCTGGGCCTCGGGGCTGAGGAACTGCGGCATCCCCAGCTTGGCTCTGCAAAGCAAGGAGACTCAGGAGAGGCGGCCCCAGGGGACCAGCTCCTTCTGCGCCCAGTCGCCACCCACAGACAGCCCATCTCACCCCGAGTGAGCCCGGACGGCGGCGCCCTGACCTTTAGGTCTTAGGGCCTTTGCCCTCCCGGAGGTCGTGGGGACCCAGAGCGCGTCTGCGTACGTGGGCTGTCCACGCGGGAGATTAAAGCGGAAAGCCTCACGCCGGCTGTTTAGTCATTTATTTAAAGAGTAACACGGCCGCCAAGAAGAGATGAGGCGAAGCCACGGACGTAAGCAGCAGGTGTCCGGGCATTACGGACGGTTCCCAGAACAGCGACAGAGGCCTCGGCGAGCAGGGGCGCCGGCCACACGGGGACCGGGGGCTGGGACTTGGGGAGCCTCTCGCCCGCCTGTGTGCCCACTCTGCTGCCCAGGGGAATCGGGACCACCGCTGGGCGCCGCCCCCTCCGAACGTGGTCACTCCCGCGTGACCCGTCACGGGCCACACCTGCGATCTGCGGGAGGGACTAGTCTAGCTTCAGGGAGAGTACACATCTTGTTACCCCTTAGGATGGAAAGAAACCGCGGTCATCAGCACCAAAACAAGGGGCTGCAGCTCTGCATGTCATTCACAAGGTGAGGCCACCTAACGCGGGAAGGCGCCAATGACACCCTCTTTAGGGTCCCCCCCTCCCCTTCCATTTACGCAATGGCGTCATCTGCAAAACTTAAGCTTTTTAGGTGCCTCTCGACTTTGCAAAGCTTACAGAGCACGTGCAGGGTGACAGAGAGCTGGCGGGGAGGGCGGCAGCTTTGTGACGTCCCCTCAGGCCCACGGCAAGTGCCCCCCGTGGCTCAGCGGGGAGCCGCTGCTTTGGAGTCCCCGACACTCGTTTCTGGCCACCTCCCCACTGCACGCACCCACTCCCCTGGCCGCTTCTCTGCCCCCCGCCAAGGCCGCTTCTCTGCCCCCCCCAAGGCCGCTTCCATCCTCCCTCTCCCCTGCCAAGGCCACTTCCCTCCCCCGTCAAGGCCACTTCCCTCCACCCAGGGCTCTCCCGCTGACATCTTGCCCAGGAGCCGACACTGAACATGTGACAGCAATGTGACTTTCGGCGGTCCTAAGAGCAAAATCCACGCGCGTGGTAAAGGACGCCTCACGAGAATTCAGGAGAAAGTCATGTTTGCATTCCGGCACCCGGGCAAGCCGGCGGGAGAGCCCAGGCACCTGCACAGGGGTCGCGGGGGACGGCAGGAAGCCCGCGCCTGCCTTCTCCGGAGCCCCGGGCCCGGCTTTGTGAACCTGGCCTTGATTCCTCAGGTCGCCAACCCTCCCGTCTGAAGACCGTGCCTCAGACAACGTGGAGGGCTCTTCCTGACGGAAGACCCAGTCTCTGGTGGAAGACTCCATCGGAATTGCCTGGCGACCCTACTCACAGCTGGCATTCAGCTCGGGAATGGTCACTGCTGCCAACGCCCACCTGACTGACAGCCCTGGTTTCGAGGGCTGATGCTCTCGGCATCGGGGGGCTGGCAGGTACAGGGCAAACTGTGGGGGGGGGTCCCCTACTCACTTGAGGACGAGGGCCATGGTCTCCTTCCTGTCCTTCCCCTGGAATGGCAAGGACCCCGTCAGCATCTCGAACTGCAGGGCGACACAGAATGGGACAGTGAGTGCTCGGGCCGAGGACTGAACAGCGGGGAGCCCAGGTGGGCAACATGCAACCGGGGTTCAGCCGTGGGAAGCCCGACCGCTGTGCGGTGCCGCCACCGGGCCGGGAGCGCGGCGGGGCCGGAGCTGCTGTTCAGTGGGGAGGGGCGAGCGATACACAGCCAGTGACTGCGGCAGGCGACGGGTGCTGAGTGCTGTGCAGAGGAGGTGGGGCGGGTGATGGGGACGGCGCCGGCCGCCACGCCGCCCATCTGCTCTGGGGTTGGTGGGGGACCCCGTCCTTCTCTGGTGGGTGCTGGGGAGGGGGCTGAGCGAGGAGGAAGCGGAGGACCACTAGGTCGGGCCAGACACCGGTGGCCCGTGAGTACAGCCTGTGAGTAACGTCTGTAAAAACAAGACGGCACGAATGACCCCGCTCCTGCCCCGGCCCCCGCCACGGGCTCCTGGCTCAGAAAACACAGGCGGATGCCCGCCAGGGGGGACCCTGCACAAACACAGGACCCTGAGTGCAGGCTCCCCGTCCCACAGGCAGCCCTGATGACAGGGACGCTGGGGCGGTGGCCTGGGACTGCAGGGTCTTACCAGGACGTGTCCACCTGACCACTTCCGATGAAAGGGACTAGGGTGGCAGCAACCACAAACCCTTCTCTTAAAAAGAAGACACTGAATCCAACGGAAACGCGTAAAAGCACTGACCCCACCCAGTGCCTTTAGTCACTTCAAACTCGACGAGACAGACTCAGGGCAGGTGCCCCTACGATCCGGCCGCACCTGCCCTCGTCCTGAGTTTTCACTGCACGTGTCTCTGCCCCTTCAAAATTTACCCTCTGGTGTTTTTCCCTCTGTTATGAAAATCTTGGGAGATACATCAACGCAGAGAAACCAAAAAAAATCTCCTGTAACCCCATTATCCAAGGAGAGCCCCAGCTAACGTTTGCTCTCTCCCGCTAATGCTTTCTTCAAGCTGTTTTCTAAAAAAATATATAGATAAGGTTTTGTATCCTAACTTTTCACAGAATAGTTCAAAACCTTCCAACGCTTACATAACCTTCATAACATCACTTACATGTGGATACGCCAAAGTATAACAGTGTATCTATTGTCGGACACTTCGAATGTTTCCAGTCCCTATTTTAAGTAACACTGAAACGTACATAAAGATTTTCCTAAGGTTGGGGGTCACCTTTATGACAGTCTGCCAGGAGCGAAATCACGAGCTTAAAGAAATGAACGTATTTAAGGCCTTGTTAATATTACTGGTCTACTTACTGAAAAGTAGAATTTTAAAATAAAAATTTAAATCCCTGCCCATTCAGATGTCTGAGGCCTGCTGGACCATTCAGTGAAGGCACACAGAGCAGACAGGCTGCAGGCAAACAATCATCATGTATAAAAAAACGAGGCTAAGGGAGTCCAGAGAGAATCTAAAAACAGACGCACACAGTAAATGCAAAGGCTGGCGCTCCGGCTGGCAGATGAGCTACTCGTCCGATAAAACGGGACACTCTGTATAAGCCGATCATGCAAATTAAAATCTCTCTTAAAACAGAATCGCGTTAGTAAAAGAAATTCTCTTCCTGTTGTTTTTCCTTCGTCTCCCTCTGTCCCTCTTTCTTTCCTGAGTCCAGTGTGAATGATTCCACGTCGGCGCGAGCCTTGCTGGCCACGTGAGACGAGAAAGCCGTTCACTTGCTCACCTGACTCTCGCCGTTTACTCTGTTACCCAGACAGCGCCCTCCAGACGCCTGTATGTCACGTTTGCTCCGGGCCAGCGACACGTCGCACACGTCTGCCGGGTGACATGGCGACTCGCTAACGCTCGGGGTCCAGAGCCTCGTGCCCTCCACCCCCTCTTCCTGCCTCGGCAGCCGGCTGCGCAGTGGGAGGCCCCTCACCACTCCCGAACCCACAGAACATCCAACGCGACGGTGTACGCGGGTGTCGGATCAACGCTTCTTGGAGGTGACGACGGTGGTGGCCAAGGACAGTTCCAAGGACATCTGCCCCGCAGAGAGCCAGACACAGCCGGCACTTCAAGCCCATGGGGCCGAGCAGCGGACCCAGAGACCAAGTGGCCGATGCCCCCCGAGGCCCTGGGACCAGCCTCAGGCTCCCCAGCCACACCTCGGAACCGGAACCGCGGCTGGGGCAGCCCGTGGTTCTGCAGCCAGGGGCTGGGCATGTGCGGTGGGAGACGGGTCTGCTGTCGCTGAGGGGGTGGCTGGGAATGCGCACGTGCCTCCTCAGACCTGGGAATGCGCACGTGCCTCCTCGGACCTGCTCAGATCCCTGTGGCCTCAGCCTCCTCCTCTGCGGAATGCACGAGACGGAGGGGCCTGGGCAGCCCTGGGGCACCACGAGGCCGCGCTGATCCGGTGGCAGACAGCGGGCCGTCAGAAGTCTGCTGCACACTGGGTGGCCGAGCACGGAGCCCGGCCGGCAGGGCAGGGAGGGCCACGCGGGGTCGGGGATGGGGCGCTAGCACCATGTCCATCACGATGACGGATACCCGGTGTGGATGGCGTCTGGGTATATGCTCTGTGAACACGTGATCTCAAGAAAATTCAAGTTTCTGAATGTCGATGCAAAAACCTTTAGCTCCTTGTATATTTTGGCTCGTGATAGTTTTTATGACTAAGTGGAAGGATTTTGAAGAAAAACGTTTCATGTGAAATCACTGCATCCTGTGCAATCCCCACGTTAAACCTGTGCGTGCGCTAAGTGTAAAGAAGGCTGACCCTTCACGTAGCTGTGTCCTTGGTTCAGGACGGTGGGGACACGAGGCAGGCAGGGGCGGTGTGGTGGAAAGGCCGGGAGGGGGGAGCTGGTGGCCGCCTCCGTGTCCTGAGTCATGCATCTGGCCTTGCTCTGCGGGGCGAACCCCGGTCTCTGAGCCAGCCTGGGGGAGCGCGGGGCGGCGGGGGCGGGCGGGCCGTTACCATGAGCACGCCGAAGGACCACCAGTCCGCGCTCTGCGTGTGTCCTCGCCGGTTCACCACCTCGGGCGCCATGTACTCGATCGTCCCGCAGAACGAGTAGGCTCTCTTGTCATGGTCGATGGCCTCCTTGCTCAGCCCGAAATCTGGGGATAAGACGGCACACACGGCGCTCAGTTACGCGGCTTTCCGGACCGGCCCCGCGCCGAGCCCCACAGCGGGGGGCTCCGGCGTCACTTACGCGGATCAGCCTGACGGGGCGTCACCTCCCCGCCGGCCCTGCCTGGCCCACACGCCCCCTGTGACGCCAGGGCCAGGCCCACGCCTGCTGGGGAGACCCCGTGACTTCCCAAGGCGGCCTCCTTCAGGAATCTGAGGTTCAGAAGTGCCTTGTAAGGGCACCAGGAGGCTGAATCGCTTAGGGACCAACAGGAGTCCCCCGGGAGGCAGGGGGACCCTGGGGCGCCGATGCCGCAGGTCAGCGGCCGAGACTGAGAGGCAGGGGTGCTGCTCTGACGGGATGGGAAGGGGTGCCCGGGTGGTGAGGCTGGACGGGGAAGCCGGCCGGGTCTGAGGGCCTTTTAGACCGTCTGCCGTGGGGCGTGCAGGGAGCGCTGTCCCCCCACCTCCCCGAGAAATCCTACTCCACGCGGTGCCCGCGTGCTCGGCACTCGGTGGGTGAAGGACACGGCCAGGGCAGGGGCGCTAAGGTTACAGCCCCTCGGTTCCACTGTCTGTGAAACGGAGGGTGACATCACCTCCTCCTAGGGCCAGGTGAGGCTGGAGCACGACACGTGCCCAGTGGCAACACCAAACGCCCGCGTGGCTTGCCCACTCACGACTGAAGGGACCTGCTTTGCACATCAGAGTTTTGGGGGTGTGTTTGTAATCTGGCCCAAATTACAAATTGTTACATATTATTAGGTGGGGTCACAAATAAATACAAAGTCAGAAAAAGCCAAAACTCTATAAAATGACAAACATGTCTGATGTGGGGGCTCTATGCCCGTTCCAGCCGCTGCTGCCCACGTGTGGCTTATACGTCACCTGGGCGGGTCTCCACTCGGCAGAGAAAACACAAATCACCAGCAGAACCTTAAATCTACACGAGACGAGCTCTGAGTAGAGAAGGGGTCGGCAGGCGCCGAGCAGGACCAGCTTCCACCGGAAGGGACGATGCTGGTTCGGGGCACACGGTGGGGCGTGTGTGTTGGTGAGGCCAGGCCTGGGTCGACCCCGGGGCCTGTGACTACGTCACCTGGCATGGCGAAGGGGACCCTGCAGGTGTGGCTGTCCAGAGCCCTGGGACGGGAGGTTATCCTGGGTCACCAAGTGGCCCCGTGGAGCAGCAGGACAGGACTGAGGAGGGGGCGAGACCAGAGTCCCTGAGGTGGGAGCTGCTGCGCTGCTGGCCCCGGAGAGGGAGGGCGGCCTCGAGCCCAGGGGCGTGGTGGCCCGGGGGGGCTGGAGGCCAGGGGATGGCTGCTCCCTGGGGCCTCCGGCTTTGCAGGGCTCAGGTGAGGTCACCGAGGGGGACCGGCGCCGTTTACAAACCTGTGATCTTGATGTGTCCCTCTTCATCCAGGAGGATGCTAAAAGACAGGAAGAAAACAGATGGCCGGTCAGCCGCGGGCCGGCTGGGGGTGTGTGGGCCTCGGGGGACGCCCTGGGCCCTCGGGCACGTGCTGCCTGCAGACGCGGGGTCCAGGGCCAGCTCCCTGGCCAGCTGCTTCTGTGAGGTCAGGGCTGCTCGGGTCTCAGCGTTCAGGGAGGCAAAGGGCCCGTTACCCAGGGAAACGCTGGGGACTTAGGTTTGAGGACTTAATCCCATGGGCCCCCCAGACTGTCTCGTGTGAGGAAGAGGTTGAGAGGGCCCTGGCCTGTGGGCACCCAGGACCCCCGAGCGGGCACGTCCTGCCCCAGACAGGCCCTCTGTGTCCAGGGGCCGCTCCTGATCCCCAGATCTCCACGAGCCCCAAGCTGACCTTGGGGGCCTGTGACATCTTGGGCTTTGGCACCAAGGAGCCTTTGGGTTCTGCAGGCTTCGCCTGGTGATAGGAGCTTGTCCCACTGGGTCCTCGCCTTGTTCCCTGTCCACGCCCTTGTCACAGATGCCGCAGGGTGGAGAGCTGGCCTTACTCTCCCAGGCCCCGTGGGGGTGGCGGCTGCGCAACAGTGTGAATCCCCTTAACACTGCGAACCTGTCGACCTGACGGCGGGTCAGGTTCACACTACTGTTCCTGCTACCCCTACTCAAAGCATCTGCCACGGGCTCCAAAACATGCCCCCTGGAGCAGCAGGACATGGGAAGGACATGTTTTACGGAAATGGGAAGGGAAAAGCTACAGTACGTAATTAAGATGGCGATTTATCACGAGAGGGGCAAACGTATTTCTCTTTGCTGTTGGGTTATGCTTCACCCTTGCCCGGAAGTGAGCGTTTCAGGATTAATTCCCTACTCGTTCTGAGGGACGACACAATCTTCCTTCTTTGACCCTGCCATTGCGTATTACTGTTTTCAACTGTAAAGACCCCTTGACCTTTAAGAGGAAAAGCGGGGCGCACCCTCAACGGTGCTGGGGCGCACGGTCGGCGAGCGTGGAAGCTGGACCCCGGGGTCGATGCCGTCTGCGGGTGGTGACACTCGGGCAGGGCCTGTCACGATTGCATAAACGCTCATCTACACGCACAGTGAGCGCCGTCCTAGCGTGTAGCACCCCTGCCACGGCGCCGAGTCCTGGCGGAGGGACTCTGCGTCACCACGTACATGACGTCACCGGCTTCTCGGCAAAGCCAAGTGTGTCCCCTAAACGACTCCCCGTGTCCTGATTGGCTTCAGAGAGGAGGCGGAGCTCTCCCCAGCTCAGTGAGGAGGAGGCAGGAAGGAGCCTGGGGCGCAGGCCGCACCCCCTCCCGGCGAGGTCTCACCTCACGGCCCGGCTGCCTATGCCCTACCAGGCCCCACTGGTCCAGGGCAGGTGCGGGCCGCACAGGACAGTGACCAGTGAGCGAGGAAACCAGTGACTTCACCTTGGGGACACCTGCTAGGCCAGCACTGGAACCTGAAAATGACCTCCACGAGCTCTCCCCCTTTCAAGGGGTCCCTCCTAACCCCTGTGTCAGCTCCGTGTGGAAAATGTCAGAAAAAGCCTGAAATGCACACATCGTCCCTGTGAGAGACTCGATCTCTAACTTAGGGGGGCTGGCAAGACACCCTGGAAATGAGAGCGTAGGCGGTGGCTGCCAGGCGTCCCGGACCTCATCGGAATTTGGCCTGGGGCATCTGGTGCCGCTGTCTCTGGGCAAAACTCTAGGAAAAGCTCGTCTGCCTTGTCACCTAGTTGAAAGGGCTTCTGGAATTTGGACACAGGACGAGAACGGTCAAACCAGCAGGGAGGTGGCTGTGCGCCCCGGCGTGGGGGTGTCCACCTCCGGGAGGGAGGGCCCTTGTGGCAAGAGGGGGGCGTGGCACGAGGTGAGGGCGTGCCTCCCGCCCGTCCAGCCCACCTGATGGCGGGCCATGGGCCCTGGCCTTGCCTCCCCCAGGGTCAGGCGGAGGGGGCTGGGGGCGCCCTCTGCACTTCAGCAGAAGCCACACCCATGTCTGGTGCCTTTCAGGGGGCAGGTGGAAGCTGCTCACCCACTCGGGAGCCCTGCATGGGAGGTGCCAGCATAAGGATGTCCCCAGCCTGTCTCCCAACGTGCAAGTGCGTGGAATTAAACACTGAGTGCTGGCCGCTGACGTGGGCCGGCAAGAAAGGGGTGTGGAGGCCCGCACCCCACTTCGCTACTCACTTCTCTGGTTTCAGATCTCTGTAGATGACCCCCAGGCTGTGCAGGTGGTCCAGGGCCAAGGCCAGCTCAGCCAGGTAGAACTTGACGTCCTCCTCCGTGAACATCACCTGGTGGCAGTGAGGACGAGAGTGGTCAGCCGGAGTCCACCCGCGCCCACGACGGCCCCGCCCAGGGTGCTCCGCGGCTCTGCCTGCAGGAGACGCGGCCGCCACCTGCTCCTGGCTCCGGCCACGGTACCAAGGCCGTGCAGCACAGGGGCGCGCCCTGCAAACACGGCCTGTGGGCCTCGTGAGCGGGCGCCTGGCCCTGTCCCTGCCCCCGGTCCTCAAGCCCCGGCCATCACGCGGCTCTGGAGCGAATGTCTGGGTTTGCGTCTTAGCACAAGTGCTTCTGACGCGAATCCACTCCATTTCTGCACCAAGCTAAGCCGCACCCCGAGAGCCCGCTGCCATGTGCCCCACACGGGGCGGGAAACAGGCAAGGAGGGCCGCAGAGCGCCCCAGGGCCCTCCGGAGAGTCACCTTCCCTGCCGGCTTTCAAGGACGAAGCGCTTCCCGGCGCAGCCTGTGTGACGTCCTTAAAACACACACCCTGCACACACACACACCCTGCATACACACACCCTGTACACACACACCCTGCACACACACACACCCTGCACACACACACACCCCCATACTCACACTCTGCACACACGCATGCACCCTGCACACACACGCCCTGCACACACACACACCCTGCACGCACACACACACATACCCTGCACTCACGCACACACACACCCTGCACACACACGCCCTGCACACACACACACCCCATACTCACACACTCTGCACACGCACATGCATGCACCCTGCACACACACGCCCTGCACACACACACACCCTGCACACACACATGCACCCTGCACACACACACGCATGCACCCTGCACACACACGCCCTGCACACACACACACCCTGCACGCACACACACACATACCCTGCACTACACACCCTGCACGCACATACACACACACCCTGCACTCACACACACACACACCCTGCATGCACACACACCTGCACCCTGCACACACACACATCCTGTACACACACACCTTGAACACACACACACCCTGTACACACACACATCCTGCACTCACGCACACACATCCTGCATACATGCACACACTCTGCACACACACACACCCTGCACACACACACACCCTGCACTCACGCACACACCCTTCACACACACACCCTGTACACACACACATCCTGCACTCACGCACACACTCTGCACATACACACCCTGTACACACACACTGCACTGACACATGCACACACACACACCCTGCATGTACACACCCTGTACACACATGTGCACACACCTCCCCTTGTGTCCTCCCCCTGTCCCCGGGTCCTGGACCGACACCAACAGCCCGCACGCCCTGGAGGGGCCAGTACCTCCTTGGAGAGCCTGGTGAAGAGGTCCCCGCCCCGCAGGAAGTCCAGGATCAGGTAGAGCTTCCCCTCTGTCTGGAAGGCTGTGGAGGAGAGACAGTGAGCGTGTCAGCGGTCACAGCCCTCGTGGTCCCCGGGAGTGGACGCTGTCCCTCGGGCTCACTTTGGCTCCAGCAGTACTGGGTACTCTGCACGCTGGGGCGTTTCAGAGATGGGCTGGAACCGAGGGAGCCAGCGTGCCAGGGCCAGCGCTCGGGGACAGCGAGCGAAGCTAAGGAGCTCTGTCTCTGTCGCTTTTCTAAGAGTCCTAGGATTCGTCCCTTTTCTCTCCCCTCCCTTCCTGTCCTCCTCCCCACGTCCTCCCTCTTCAGTCCCAACGGGGATGGAGACACAGGGAGGAAGGTGTCGGCAGGTCCCCCCTTGCCGTCATCACGACCGGAGTCGGGCTCTGGGTACCAGCGGGTCTCACTGAGTCGCTTCTGCCGGCAGGAGTCTGGAGAGAGCGGCCGATGGCTCTGACCAAGGCTGGTCGAGTCTCCTTCCCGTCAAAAAGCACTCTCTGCACTCAGGGCTCAAGGGCACCCGTCACCCGATGCCAGCGCTGGTGACCAGTTGGCCTGGCTACCTGCCATCATGGCATTGGGGCTCCTGTCCCACGTTTGATCACAGAGCCAAAATTATGGGCTCGCTGTCTGTTTCGGGCCACAGGCCGCAGGCAGAGCTGCCGCCCACCACTGAGGAAGGGCGGGCCTCAGTCGACAGGGGCTGAACGTGCCTGCAAGGGTCAAGGCCACCCCATCCCTGCCGGGCGGTCAGTTCAGGAGTCCTGACGCTCTGCCACTCGCCATCTCTGTCGCATACGCAGGAAGCGGGGCGGGAAGGGGCCTGACAGCTCTGCAAACCTCAGAGCTCCCTGTTTTCTAAAAGTCAACGCTAGGAGAGTTGAGATATTGGGTCTTAGAAACAGAGCCTCTAACCAGAAAGCCTTTGTCAGAATCGAGCGACCTGAGGCGTGGATTAAACACTCTGCCCCAGGGCCGGATGGGCAGACAGAGGACACCAATCACTTGATCGACCTCAGAGGTCACGCGGACGATGTGTTTAAACTTCTCTGTAAGGAGCCCAGTTCTTAACTTCTTCAGACAGGCCCCTGGACCAACTGAAGTGACACGTGGTGTCACATGTGGCACCAGCGACCAGCTGCGCAGAGGGGGCAGTGTGACACAGAGCCCCTGCTGTGCACGGAGACCAGGGGGCGGCTGCCCACAGGCCTGAGGGGTGACAGCCACCACCTGCTTCCGGCAAGTTCACATCCGTATTCGCTCTCACTATTTCTGAAAGGAAAAGCCACAGAATTTCCATACAGGACCGAACCGTTTCTCAGTAAAAGCAGAAACTCGCCAGCGAAGAGCCGTCTCTGCTCTCCCGCCGCTGGGCCTGTCGAACCCGCGAGCTGCCCGTTCTGTTGTTTTCTGTACTTGTGCTCACGTTAGTTACTCGAGCGGGCGGTAAACTTTAACGTGGCCAGGCGTGACTGCCGTCACCATTTTATCCGTATTTAAATCTGAAGATTTCACTTACTGCTTCTCTGAGGACGATAAAAGGGCAGAAAACTGAATATCGCGTCCCCCACCATACGTGGTTTTGGGCAAATTGTCTGATCTGAGCCTCTGTTTTCTTTTCTGAAAAATGGAAGCGCTAACCCGCCTTGAAAGGACATTTTGACGAATCGGTGAACTACTACCTTCAAAACACCTGAAATGCCATGTCCACGCAAAGTGTGGGAGGATGAACGTGTCCCCTTAAACTCACCACCGGGTCACAAAGCGTTTTCTTCTGAAACTGCACAAAGATACGTCATAGAGCCCCCCCAATCCAGACTCTCTGCTACCACTTAACCAGGGACAATAATTTAATGAATAATCACGTATGGCCACCTCACATTAGGTCTTTGAGACAAAAATAAAGGAATTTTGCTCCTTTAGGGAAGAAAAACAGAGATGAAGGACTCGGGGAGGGAAGGTCACCGGCCAGACAGGACCGGACGCCGAGCCCCGGCTCCTCTGACTCACTAGGCTCTTTTCACGTGCTATGGTTTGGGGGAGGTTGTCCCAGGTTCTGTCAAAACTTGGTTATTTTATCTATGTTACTGTATTTACCATAATGAAGCTTTACAATGAAAGGGTGATTCACTTCTGCCAAAATGTCTCTCTCCATCTTCGATCTGACTCGGTCCCGAACTGCAAAACAGGAAAACGGGGCTCTGAAGTCAGGAGTCAGGGCTCCGACGGGCACGGGATCCGAAACGCCGACAAATGAGTTCCCGCTGCGTTCCGCTGTAAGTTCCAGACACGCACACAGGCTCAGAGGCAGTGATGGCCACGCTCAAGCCCTCGGCAGGTCCACGCCGTGCACTGGGCACGTCTGCGCTCACGCCCTCCACTCACACTCACACACACACGCATACACACACACGTGCATACACACATGCGCCCACACACATGCACACGCGTGCGCGTACACACAGTGAGCGGTTGACGCCGTGACACCTGACCTCAGGTGCACTGCCGTGCAGCACCTCCCCCTCCCGAGAATGAGGACAGTCTGCTGCATAATGAGCACGGCTGTCGCCCCTAAGAAAACCAGCCGTCATCCCGTATGGCGTCCAACGTCTAGCCCAGGTTCGAACTCCGCCCCACACCATTTACAGCTGCTTATTTTTTTCCGACCCAGGACCCGGTCAAGCTTCACACATTTGGTTTGGTTGTTATGTTTCCTAACTCTTTTTGGTCCTAGAATAGAACAGCCCCATGCCTTTTTCACCCTGGGATTTTTGATGGATTTATTGGCAAGTCCAGATCAGTTTGGCTGTAGAGTCTCCCTCCTTCTAGGTTTGATCGATTAACTGGTTGCTCTAATGCCTATATTTCTTGCAAACTGAGGCTGGGTCTGGAGCCTTTATGAGACTGAGGCTAAACGTTTTTGCGAAAATACCTCCGCGTGATGCCGTGTGCCTTAGGCAGCAGCAGGTGAGAGCTGAGGCTGCATCGCTCTCACTCTGCGATGCTAAGCGAGGTGCCGGGCACGGCGGCAGGTCATCGGTCTCTCACGGTGAAGAGCCACGTGGCCCTCTGTAAGTAACGAGTCACCTGTGGGTTCCCTAACAATCCTGCATCCAACGGCGACAGCGTACGCTTATGATCCTTGCTTGAATCATTAGGATTACAAAATGGCGATGTTCTCATTTCTGATGGGGCTGGAAATAAAAGGAGGCTTCTCCCCCTCTCTCCCTGAAAATAACTATGGACGATGGACTTAAAGGTTTTTAGTTATAACCAATTACAATATTCTTCTTTTTGGGGGTGCAACTGTCCAAAGTTTAGCTGTCTGGGAATACAGATGGAATTTGTTTTGAGGTGAGAACAAACAGAAGCTCAGCACCTGACAGTAACATCGACCAGAGATGCCGCGGGCAGCCGGGGGGCAGCGGAGCGCGCGCGTTTGCGGGAGCCGCGTCCCCGCATCCTCGGCCTCCTCGGGAACCGCCTCTCCACACAGCGGCTCCGTGAACTCGGGGGGCTCCTCCGAGAGCATGCGCTGCACGCGCATGGCAGGAACACAGTCTCATCAAACCTATCTCGACTTTTCAGTTCAAACGAGACGTTTTCTCAGTGACTTTTAATTAGTTTGACTGGTTTAAATTCACAGAGGAACAGTATGTTAATTAACTTGAATCTTAGAATGCGACGACGTGTACATTTATTTCAAGCAGTGGGCAACAGATGTCCCCAGGAAATTATTTCGTTCGAACCATTCTGTAATTAAAAGCATCTCACTTGCTATTTAAAAAAAAAAAGAAAGAAAAAAGTAGACGTACTACTTACTGCATGAGCCAGGAATTCCACTCTTGGGTATTTATCCAAAAGGACTAGAAACGGGGACTCTCACAGACACTTGCACACCCGTGTTCACAATCGTCACAAGGTGGAAGCCACCGAGTGTCACTGACAGGTAAACTTACAAATGAAATGTGGTAAATCCACACGGCAGAGTATAATTCAGTCTTAAAAAAGAATAAAATTTTTGTTTGTTTGTTGGTTTGTTTTTTTTTTAGGCGAGGCCACCCTTGGTTGACCTCACAGATTGCAAGGACCTTGTCAGTTTACAATCTCTTATTTTTTTATTTTTTATGCCTACAGCACTTGGTTTTCCTAGGTGGTCTCCCATCCAAGTACTAACCAGGCCCGACCCTGCTTAGCTGATGCTTCCGAGACCAGACAGGATCGGGCTTGTTCAGGGTGGCGCGGCCGCAGACAGGAATAAAATTTTGATACACGCTACACCACGGATGAAGCTTGAAAACTTTATGCTCAGTGAAACAAGCCAGTCACAAAAGACAAACGCGGCACAACTCCACTTGTGTAAGGGCCTGGAGTCGTCACATTCACAGACGTGGAGCAGCTGGGGGAGGGGGGCGAGGCGTGAGTGCGTGATGGGGGCGGAGGTTCCGCCTGGGGTGACGGAAAGTATTGGGAAGAGACAGCAGTGATGGTTACGCGACACTGTGAATGTGCTTAATGCCACTTACAGCTGGTTAAGATGATCGATGTTATGTTGTGGGTTAGGGAATCCAAAGGCCAAACATCCTGGAGGAACAATTAGGAAAAGCTCTCCTACAGCCACACCACCCTGAACGAGCCCCGTCCCGTCTGATCGCGGAAGCTAAGCAGGGTTGGGCCTGATCAGTACTTGGATGGGAGACCGCCTAGGAAGACCAGGTGCTGTAGGCGTAAAAAATAAGGGATTGTAAACTGACAAGGTCCTTGCAATCTGTGAGGTCAACCAAGGGTTGCC